GAGAAAACGAGATCTTCACGGCAAAAATCGCAATATATTTCAACAGTTTTTAATCGAACGGCGCGTTGAGAATAAATAGCTTGAATAATAATGACCGCACTGATTCGCGCGTTGCATTTCGGGAAGACCCTCATTCCTCCTCTGTTCTTAAGTGAACAATTCATGTAATTGAAAATTAATAAATGTTAATGATTTTCTGCTCGTTTAAATGAATATACCAAAGTTTTATTGGTGTATCGAAAAATGTAATTGAATGTTTGTTTGTGTTTAATGCGGGGCAGAAGGTGTATTAATGTGAGTAGCGATTTTATTCCTAAAAGAGGCAAAGGATTTGCTTTCTCTAATTTGCTTCGGAATAGAATTCCAAAGGTAGGCTCCGTCATACATGAAACTCTTTTTCATGCTATTTGTACGCGGTTTAGGTAAGCAAAGACTACTCGAAATATCCCGAAGATTGTAGTTTGTCATCTCACCTTTATATGTGAAAAGATTAGTGAGTGACTCCGGACCCATTTTATTTAATATTTTGTACATTAATTTTGCTTTAGCTTTTTGTCTTTCCGTTTTGAGTGGCACCCAGCTCAATGCTTGTAAAGCAACAGAATGTTCTCTGTTGTGAATTTCTAAAGCTTTTTCATGTCTAATGTTACGCTTACATTTGTTTTGGACTTTGGACACTGTCAGTTCTATATTTTTATAAAGTTTTGGTTTCTTAGTGTGATAAATCTGTGTATATAGTCTATATAATGTGGTAAAGGCGCCTAGCAGTAAACAGACTTGATATATAATTTGATCTTAATTTACCTGTATGTCAATGAGACGCATTGATTGCCTTTTAACCCCTGGTGTTTGCTACTTCAATATGGGTGTAGATAAAAGGCGGACGGACGGCGAACCGCGGACCGCGGAGCATTTTAGAAACACACGATTACTACCGCAACTAATTATAATATACCTTAAATTAAAGTATACCAGCCTTAGATCTGTGAAATGAATATGTTTTCACCCGTTCGAATTTTTAGCAATGGAATTTTTTAATCAGCATTTAAATGATTCAGTACGTATTTATGATAGGCTATACGCCGTCGTTCACGGAAAACGTTTAGAAATATTGTAAAAAAGCGCCTCAGTTTTGGAGCTTCTGTTAGGCAGAATTAAATGACATTCACTTGCTGACATTTTCGTACTTTAAATAGTGCTGACTTGTTGTTTTATAATGAAAATAATCCCCGTTTTAATTATAAACCAAAGAGGTTCACATGTAGAAATGGCCAATTTGCACGCGACGACTATTCTATATATGGATTTTAGAAATATTATGTATTAGGGGCTGATCATTTGATCGGGGTGGATTTTCATTGAGCCCAATAATTAACTGCAATGAGTTATTGATATTTTCCTGACATATTTATGTAAATATAATTTACACAGTAATCAGTGTAACAAACTGTTTGAAAAATGTATATATGTGTGCAGCATAAATATTGGGTATTATATCGTATGTATTTGAAGGCTTAGGGAAGGTTATAATTTCGTTCTACATTTATATGCAGTGGAATAGTAATCTGTAAGCACTCACATGAATGGACCTTGGCTACGTGTTAGCCTTTTAGTAAGTAAAACGGGGATTAATTTCATTATAATGTAATGTTCATCATGTAAT